CGGATTCATGCCTCCGTCTTCTGCCTCCTCCGCAGAAAAAGAGATTGAAGCTTTTTGTCACATTTAAGTCATATCAGTGGGGGCAGGATTTTCAATGAAACCTATATGAAAGTAACCTATTGTAGGGCTTAGAGCGCAGGGTTTAAAAGGACTCACTCAGCATCAGTAATGATACAACCTTCATTATATTAAAGACTGTGGATAATTCACATGAAATACAGTGGTGCTATGAACCCCTGATAAGAGCGACCAGTTAGACATGGTTGACTACTGCCTGATATTGCTGGTGGCAGCAGGTTTGGTCCATATGTTACCTTCGTCACACACACACACACACACACACACACACACACACACACACACACACACACACACACACACACACACACACACACACACACACCACACACACACACACACACACACACACACACACACACACACACACACACACACACACACACACACACACACACACAGTCCTGTCACATACGTTCCCCGTTTCTGTTCCACACACACATTCTTCAACACAATGTGGAGCTGCACTTCTCAAGTAGTGTAATCTCCGCAGTGACGCATGCGATCTTACTGCAGTTTAGCCATGCTCAGCTGCCCCTGGACCACAGAGCCCACCACAGCCTGTCAGCTGGTTTACACAGACAGGGCCAAAGAGGGGGGACGACAGGAAAAGAAAAGAGACAAAGAGGTAGACTCCTGAAAGGAGACCGAGAGTAAAGCTGGGACATAAAGAAGCCCAAGAAATAAAAAGGTACATGAGATTAAAGGTCCCCTATTATACTGTTTTTCATCAATATATTACAGGTCTCAGATATATACAAACATGTCTCTGAAGTGTTTGGCTTGAAATACCAAACAGATCATTGCAGCATCCCATAATCCCCTCTGTTTCAGCCCTGTTTCAAAAGTGCTGATTCTCTGTCTTTTACTTTAAATGAAAATAAGGAGCCCCTCCCCACGCCCCTCTGAGAGAGATTTGGTTAAAAATAACACAATGGTGCTCTAGGAGGAGATTCAGGTGATAAGGAGGGGGGGGGGTTACCTTGGTTGGTTATTGGCTAATGGTTACACAAGCCAAGAAATCGTTATGAATTCATAAAAGTGGCCAAAATCTCATCAGATCATTTTCAGACAGATCTTTATATAAATGGATCAGGACAAAAAGTGAGCGAATCTTTGTTCCTGAAACTTCCAGAATCTCTTTACACAGAGGGGACACATGTTGATGTATAAAAGACATCAAAAAGTGCATTTTGTATGATAGGTCCCCTTTAAAAGAGGGGGAAGCAAGGATGAAGGGAAAGTATCGATGGCAGAGACGGATAGCAGGATGTAAAATGAAAAAAAGAGGAGCCAAGTTGAAATGAGGGGAGTTTCAGCAGCGACAAGACAACCCAAGAGAACAAATAAGTAATGATAGGGTGATGTGTTCCCATTGTCTGTTGTGTCTGAGAAGATAGCTGAGTCTCTCCCTCACAGAGTTGGTGTAGCTTACAGAATACCACCAATCTCCCACCCCTCTGCTCCCATCCACCCACACTCCAATCTCTCTGCTTCAAATCTGTCCCTCCTCCTCTCCTAACCCCTGCTCATCACACATATTGCATCTCACAGCGCCGGTTTTCCCTTCATGCTTCCTTCCCACAGCGTCCACTCTTTTTCAACCCCTCCTATCCCAACTCTCCATCCTTTCCCCAGTAGTATTAAAGATTCCTGTAGGATTAGGATAATAGTGGGACTGAATTCTGTAATTTAATCAGAATTTAAGTCATCCATCCAGTTCAGGCCTTGGCTTTTCCTATACTTCATTATCCCATTACACTGAGCTCAGGCCGTGCAGCTTGCCTCTGTCTCTGCCTGCTATTTGGTTAATGGAGCTGAACAGTCTAACTCTGATGGGAGTTCAGCTCAGGTGGATCTAACAAAACATAAAATGGCTGTTTTCATTTGAATGCTGATGCACACGTTCAGTTTCTTGTATCAGGTGTGTAGGAGGAAAAGTCAGAAGAAGAGTGTGTGGTAATACACTCTTCTTCTGACTTTTCCTCCTCCACACCTGATACAAGAAACTGAACGTGTGCATCCCTTACTTGCAATAAAATGCATTCATGACATTTCAGTCCTTGGAACTTCACCTGGTGCTCTGGTGATATCCAGATGAAGGTCTAGGGATCAGATGCTGTATTACAAATATTTTGTATTGAAAGTAAACAACAGTTTGCAGGTATAATCTCTTCTCTCTATTCAAATCTATGTCAAAGACTGTGAATTAAAAACTCTAAGGAGACATATAATCTCTTAATATGTGGTCCAGTACGTTAGGAAACAAATTATAATAAACTATTAGTTTGGGGGTTTGGGTAAATGTTTGGCCTGTTAATCCTTCAACTTTATTTACAGCTAACTTATTGTTGCAAATAGCCAAGGACATTTCCATAAATGTACACAAAATCAGGTCGAGGTCACATGCATTTATTCCTGTAAATCTATACATGACAGCCAGATGTATTTGACCTTATCTTGTATCCATTATGCTTTAACTGTAATAGTGATAAAATGAAAGTGCACACCCTTTCCTCATAACATAAATAAGCTTTACATTGTATTTTTTCATAGATAGACTACTAGAAGATTCTTTTAGTTATTTTCCGTTCTACTTTGGATGGAATTGTTTTTTTAACAAAAAGGAAAAACATGTGTTGATGTGTCCTTCTTTCCCCACTGGTCCACATCATTACAGTACTTGCACCTGCCCACATATAAAAAACAGTTTAGACTGTACATGGCATAGAAATCAGCATTTTCTATATAATCAACCTTTTTAAAAAATCAGGTTTCTCTTAAACCCAAAGACCATTATTTAACCTAACTAAGTGTAATTACTCTTGAAAACAAATGGATGGCAACAAGGTCATAGTAATCATGTAGGTTATGCTTAGAACACACACACACACACACACACACACACACACACACACACACACACACACACACACACACACACACACACACACACACACACACACACATACACACACACACACACACACACACACACACACCAATCATGTTCACCTCAACGGGGAGGAGCCTCGGGGCAATCAGTGGGAGAAAGGAGAGGAGAATGGGGGAGGATATGAAAAGAAAAGAGAGACATAGAGAAAGGAGGGTGAGAGGGAGGGACCGAGGGTGAGGGTTGAAGTCACGCACAAGGAGAAGCAGAGCGTACAGCATGAATGCCTCAGGACTTTGCTCAGATAAAGAAACAGAAAAGAGTTTACATGGATACTTGAAAAGAAATAAAAATGAAGGTGCATTGTAGATCTTGTAAGGATGTTTCAGGGAGACAGACATTTATTGTCTATGAATGTGAAATGTATGAATATATAAAGTATTCATAATAGCATAGTCTACGTATCACATGGTGTTCCAATTTTGGACATTCACCACCTGTAAAATACATTCATCAAACCTTCAGCTACAACCTCCTCCTGAAAAAGGCCCTGTCGTATCAGCTGGGCATCAGATGTTGCGGTGCCGTTGATATATTGTCATGTCTCACTGTGGCAGTTACTATCTAAGGGCTTTGTGCCTGAATTAATGTCCTCGCCACTCTGGTACTGACACCGTGAGTCAGCCCCTGCACACAGCTCTGTGGTGATGGATTACACACCTGCAGCCATATGGGACTGCTGGGACTTGTGCTCAACACACAGGAAATACTCGCTCCCCTCCTAATCCGGACATGGAGACCAGTGGACCGATTCTCCTCATCCATGTGAAACACAATTTAAAGAGTGAACACGCATAAGTATCTTATGTTTTAGGATAAGCAATATTCCACAGAAAGTAGTGGGATCCTTCCATTAGTCCAAGTCGCACACATTACCCAAATTCAAGCCATGATTTTAATGTGTTTATTGTGTAAGGAGCCATTTAAAGCCAATTGGAGGAGGCCAGACCACCACAACAAGGAACTCCTCTTCGAAAACATATATTATACATTGATGTATGTTAGTTTGTGTTGCCACTCTCTTAGAAAATGTCCACTTACTCGTTGTTTCTTTGAGATGAATTGATTCGAACCAAGCACTTAAAATCATGTGACACTCTTAAGAGCATGGGGACTATTGATTACTTAAAGGTGTACTATATTGATTCAGTCTGTGTTTCACTAAGCTGAAAGTTAAAGTAAGTGCATAAAATATGTGACTTATAGGGAATAAAGTGGCAAAATTAATCATTCTACATTAATTATAATACGACTGGACAGTGTCTTTACATAATACACTTCCCGGACAAGTTAAATTCCAGTTAGTAACAATTTTCTGTAATAAATTTGGCACAAGAGTCTAACAGTTAATACTGTGGGGAGCAACGGATAGCAAACCCAGCATGCTGTTCAGCACTGAAACACAGAAAACACACCAGGCCAGCAGCAAAATGCAAACATTTATACAGATAGTATCCTTCTATCTAAGATTGATATTAAAGTAACATGTCCGCCACTGGAAAAACTGATAAGTCGTCTTTAATTAAATGTATTATGTCTACAAATTTCACATTACTGTATGAGGTTAGTTTAAAGCAATAATATTAAGTTGAACCTAATTTTCTTTTACTTATTATTATTGCTTTCAACTAACCTTATAATTGTAATATTGAGAGTTTATCAGTCTATGGCTATAAGTATGGTTTTATTGTCTCGTGCTTTTACATTTGTTTTTTTGTCCCATCGGTTTTGTCTAAATGTATTTATGCTGCTTTTTATATATGTATTGATGTACAGCACTTTGGTCAACTCTGTTGTTTTTAAATGTGCTATATAGATAAAGTTGGATTCGATTGGATTATAAAGTTATGTGAAATCTGTTGACATAACACATTAAATTAAAGTTAACGTTTCAGTTTTTTCAGTGTGTTAGCACAAGTACATGTATGCACATTCACTAATACTCACACACACACACAGGGTCCCTTACCTAGCCATCCCGAGCTGGAGTTGGGCACACACATGTCTGTCTCTGCGCTGGGCAGCACAAAGCCCACCACGAACACCTCCACCCCGTCTGACATGAGCGCCAGCCCGAGCACCAGGAACAGCTGCCACTGGAACCTCCCGTGGCCACACTCCTGGATGATCAGCTCGTATTGTTGGGCCAGCTCCTCCTCATCCGCCTGCCTCTCCTCCTCCAGACCCTTGCGGTCCCTTGAGGCGTCAGACATGGGTTGTCCCAGTGCCACCTGGCCCTCCTTCTGCTTCCTGTCCGAGGGGATCCCCTGGTACTCGCCCTCGTAGATCTCATCCTCGTCATCGTGGCCCTCTGTAGCATCGCTGGAGCCCTCCTCGTTGTCATGGTTGCCCTCTCCGCCCTGCCTCGGCGGGTTCCGGTAGAAATCCTCATCTTCGTCCTCGTCGTCCTCGAATCGGCTGTAGTTGTGGTGGGACGAGTACCCGTCTGTGGCGCGGTCCACCACCTTGTTGACTTTCTTTTTTGCATGCCGCTTGGCCTCCTTGACAATGTCCTTGGCCCCCTTAGACAGGGAAGTCCTGTTATTGTAAGTTTCCTCCATTCTGGCTCCACCCGCAGGTCTGCACGGGGTTCAGGGGATACTTAGAAGTAGAAGAAAGAGGGAAGAGGGGCAAGAGGGGTGAGTTTACGCTGGCGGGGGGATTTGCTGGAACGGTGAGATCAGTGGGTGTTGAGATGCAGCCGGGAAGAAAAGTCTTGAGTCCGCAGTCACCACAGGAGATAACCCACAATGGCTGTGGCAGTCATCGGCCAGGCTGAGAGAGATGGGGCAAGAGACAGACAGATAAAAAATAGAGAAAGCAAACAGGAGGAAGGACAGAGGAGAGAGCAGAGAGAAAAGAGGGAGATGTTTATCAGATAGTGCTTGTAACTCATGTCTCCCTCTGTACTTTCATAACTATTCCAGTCTAACAGGTGACACCCCACAGACAGCACTCCCCTCTTTAATCAGTCCCTCACCATTCTCCCAGGCCGTTTAATCATTGCGAGTGATGTGTGGAAAAAAAGCATTGGCTGAAGAGCCTTCAGATTTATTCAAAATGAATATTACATTTCCAGGGGCGCTCTCTCTTTTCTATATTTTACAAGTTGGACTTAAAGGGATGAGCATTTTAAACAGAGATGCTGAATCTGCTGACTCATGATCAGCTCTGAGAAACAGAGGCTAATAAACAAGGCTGTGCCAGAAATCAATTTTCCCCCAATAAAGAGCTGGTCTATTATAATGAGAGTGGCGATCCAACCAGAACGGCACTGTCATATTTAATCCGTTCAAAGAAAGGAGAAATGGTCGTGAGTGGATACGTACTGTAGGTAAATGCACAATCAGACACAGGCACATTGTACACACACAGCTATTCTCTAAGGCCCCTGTTTTTGTAAAGTCAGGTTTCTATAACACATAAAATAGGTAATGCTTACTTGCAAAAAGGACACGTTAGAAAACACCCATGCGATTCACAAACAGTATGTGTGCACGATGGGGAAGCCCTTTCCCATCAAACCAGGCCAGTGCCGATGGGAGGGAGACCCCAGCATAAGAGTGTGAATGATGTAACATGATTTCATGTCAGTGTTCAAACTGTGATTCACAATTCATCATCACTTGCCTCCACAGGCTCACTTGGGAGAGTTATTCTATAACATGTCACGACTCAAAGGCACAGCCATTATTAAAACAAACATGATTTAGTCATTTAAATGATAGAACTCTTAAATGACTCATGTTTTATTTAACATCTCAAGATAAGAGTGCATACTTAGGAGAAGGGTGGTGATGGTCCGAGCTGTCCAGTGTGTGTGTGTGTGTGTGTGTGTGTGTGTGTGTGTGTGTGTGTGTGTGTGTGTGTGTGTGTGTGTGTGTGTGTGTGTGTGTGTGTGTGTGTGTGTGTGTGTGTGTGTGTGTGTGTGTGTGTGTGTGTGTGTGGGTTCCCGTGTGTCTAGGAGCTGCTCACCACCGCCATAATGAACAGTGAAGCCTTGTCAGGAGGACACAAATCACAGAGCCAGCTCCAGCTCCCATAATGCAATTTTACTGGGTAAAATGACACTGCTGATTCAAGGTGACTCTCCTAATCCTTTTTGGCTTATTGGATGACTTATGTGCTTCTGAGCGCGCACTCCTTTACACATTGACTGGTAATTTTTAATACCTCCGTTGACACCTGTGCTGCCTCAGACATTGTCCTTAAGATGATTCATTACCACAAATTACAAAGGGTTAAAATATGATAGAGGTTTGTTTTTTCCCTGTATAATAATATCCAGTGCAGTCGATTGATATCCTGCATGAGTCATACAATAACAACAATTCTCAAAACAATTATTTTCTATTGACTGCATCTTCAAATAACATTTATTTCAATGCCTACGTAGACATGAGTTAAAGGATGTAACTGAAATTAGGCTATTTATCATTTTGGGATCAGGTCACGTTGGCTATCACACATCATTTTCATCTAAAACTAGCAAGTGGGCTTACACACACCGGCAAAAAGGGGATACATCCTGTCTGTCAGATAATCAATGGAGTGTATAGTGAGCCGGCTGTCACTGGTGATGAAGCTCAGACGACACCCGGGCACACAGCGTCCAACCTGCACCTGACCGCAGCTGACAAGACCCCGACAGCGCAGACAGCGAAGGCAACGTGAGCAATCACAATCAAAGTGGGTAAACTCTCCCAAACAGACTAATCTCTGTGTTGCTGTCTCTGAACCATTTATTTCCTCTTGCATCTCCTTTAATGTTTGCTTCTCTTCAGAATCTAGTGTTTATATTGATGCCTGTTTGTCAGGAAATGTTCATTTTTACATTTAACATCATCTGTTCATTTGCAAAAGCACTCCTTTCCAACTTACTGTCTACTCCCCAATAGTGACAAAACATCTAGTTGTAAATTCATAGTTGTAGCTATATAATCTTTAAGTCATTACCTATGTCCAATTTACACGATCAATACTGCCCTTCAAAGTAACCAAACTCTCCTAACATTTGATTTTATGTTTCTATTGATAAAAAAACCAACATGTTGATGTGGAATATGTATTGTAACACAAAGAAGCTGCAGCCATACATTGTCCTGCAGGGCAGAGAATAAAAGGATTTGATAAAGTGTGTGTATGTTGCTGTGAACCACGGGAGGATGGCTGAAAATAGGCCTTGCTCTGGTAACACCCCTGTCTGCATGATGGATAGCGGCCTTACTTTCCTTCAACCTCTTTAGAATACTAAAAAAACACTAGGTCAAGTATCACTTGGCCCCAAATTTCCCCATGCATGAACAAAAAGTCCACTAAAGGGATTAGAGTTACAAAAGAGTTTTGCACCATCCAAGTAAAGGCAAGTACATTTGAGAAATGTTTAAAATGTATAGTGTGTGCTTGACCAACTCAGTACATTTTAACACACCTCTTCATTGCTTATCATAACTCATTAGCCAACATTTGGCACAGTAATGAAGCTGCTAATGAGCATTTTGAAAGAAACGTTTTGAATAATCACACTACATAAGATTTTCATGATGCAGAAAGGGCATCCCTAAGGCAATAGATTTGTCAAAAGGATGGATGTCATTGTTGGTGCTGATTTACCTCGAGTCCAACAGTCATCAATGAGAAGGGTATGGGCTGGTTGTTGGAATAATAAGTACACAATTAATTCAGGTCATGTAATTTAAGGTTGCTTGACCAGAAACACATTTTTTGTTGTTGTAAGAAATGGATAATCCATAGTGCCTTTCTGGCTGGGTGCAATCCACCAGTCCAGACATTGGCCCTTTCACAGTACCAAAAAAAGATATAATAAAAAACAATGAGCACAGCTGAGGGCTTCCTATTTTTATTTTTTTTTACAATTATTACTTGTGCAATAAAATGGCAATTTTCTTCCCTATGCCAATTTTTAAATGTCATGTACATTGAACCCATTTTAGAGTTTCTTAGCTCGGAACCTCAAACACTTTCCATCTCCGTCAGGTTTGACTTGTCAGTGTCCTGCCCTTTCAAAGACATGCCTGGCACAGTGTCTTGGTGGCCGGTTTGTTCTATTAGCATCAGAAGGAGCAGGTCCAATCTCTAAGTGGGCAGAGCCGCATGTAATCCAATCAAAACGGTGAGCCCATGACCTCATCTGGAAGGCAGAGGCACAGCCAGCCTGGGACATCTTCGGTTAGGAGATTTCATCAAGCACTGATGCCATTACTGACTGAGTGGGGGGGGGGAGGACGAGGGAGAGGTGGAGGGGGTATGAAAAGTATTAATGAGGGAATACATGGAGGCTTGGCAAAAGAACGTCTAAAGAGGAATAAAATGGTTGTTTCCGCAAATGGACGGAATAAAATGATTAGAAAATATATATTTTCAAAGAACCTAAACCTTTCACCTCTCACCAAGAGTCAGTGCTGGCCCCCCCACGATAGAATTCAAAAGCAGAGCTGATTGCAAGTTATGCTAATGTTACATCATACAGATTCACAAATCAGCTGCAGGAAGATGATGGCTGCCTCTCTTACCAAGCTAGTATTGGCTTCAATCACTTATGTGCCCATCCTAGCCAATGAGAGAGGATTTCCCCTATGTTTGTATTAATTTTGTCTCAATACTTAAATGAAAATAATAAAGTACATATACTCTGGATACAAAGCACTGTATCTATTTAAAGTGTACATCTGTAGATTTGCACAGACTGAAAGAAAACACATTTTGGTGAAAACACGTCCCATCCCACCCTCAAGATTCATAAAGAGAAAATTGTGCCGTCTCTTCTGCTTTTTTTTTTAGCATCAGGCTGATCTTCTTGGTAAACATATGGTCTCCCTGCCTTGACAGACCTCACTGCTGACACAATATAGTGCTTACATAGCAGATAAAAAACATAATGTGCCACCACCACAGTCTGGTGCAGATCTTACACTTGGGGTCGCAGTGACGCAATAACACGATGAGGCCGGCCAGGCATGCAAGATGCAGCACATTTACCGGTGATTTCTTAGCATTTGGTCAAAACGTTTTATGTGATGCACAAATATACACAACTCAGAGTTCCCGTTAGCCGGTAATTACCGGACAATGACCGGTAAAATATGCTGAAGTCCGGCAAATCTAAATCTCTCCGGTCAAAATGTCCGGTCAAAATAATTTTCCCTTAGCGCAATACCGCATCAGTTGCGCCACTTATGTGACAGACAAGAATAGTATGTGACAGACAAAAGAGTATGTGACAGACAAAAATTGTCAATTCTAATGTCTAACACTTAATGTGGAGAAAGAGATGTCCTGTATGGGTTGATTGTGCGTTGATCTGTTGGTAATGCCTCGGGGTTCCGGTGGGCATGTAAACAAATGCATAATGCTGCGCTATACTTTGTGGCCTCATCCGGTTGCATAGCGACGCTTATTGTTTAGGTGTCTTTTAACAAGCAGGTAGTCATATCATTAGCTAGAACTAGCTAGATCTGATCGATATGGACATAAATGCGAGTAAAGTCTAATCTGACAGGAGAGAGAGATCGGCTGCTGCTGACGAGTCGACACGCAGCTCTGCATGATCCCCTGCAGCGGCGAGCAGAGCAAAACACACTTCAGGTTAGAAAATCACACGTAGCTATTTTAATTACCTCTCAAACTACCTAAACTAGTTATAGATATGTTTAGTTTTACTGTCGGGTCACTCATTACTGGATCCGCGAGCTGCATGATACTGACGGGCTGTCAGGAGAAGGAGAGAGCGCTCCGTTTATTATTCCCGCGTTTTTGTAAATTACTGTACACTTTTGAATAATGTAGTTAATCTACTATAATTAGTTTGTTTAATGTCGAATCATATCAATTTGTTTTAAAGCTCAATAAATAACAAAGAAGACCTTTAACCGGCACTTATCTAATTTTGTCCGGAAGATTTCAACTTTAACGGACATGTTGACCGGCAAAAAAATATTCTAACGGGAACTCTGACACAACTAGTGTGCATCACATAAAACGGTTTGACCAAATGCTAAGAAATCACCAGTAAATGTACACCTCACAAATTCTAGCAGACATGAGGATGGCAAGGGTTTTTTGGTGTGATGTAAACTATGTTTTTGGGTTTAGCTTGCCCCTAAAATAATGACTATTATCTGGTATTTCTCATTATGCCTGCACACTTAAATAACAACACTAAAATATGCAGACAGTTTGGTAAAGCTCTCATATCTGCTACATTGTCACTGGCTCAGCGTACATTGAGTCCTTTCTTCCTGTCAACTGTGAATCACTGGGAGAGAAAATGTCCTCCTCTTAAAAAAGCCTGTGCTGCCTAAACTTTAGGAGAACTAACAAATGTGGGCGCTTGAGATGGAGATGTTATTGAATGCAGATGAGGAGCATTTTGAATTACAATGAGATTCTTGGTTATCGTGGCAAAAAAACGACGATAAGAAGTGGGCCCCAGGAATGAATTCTGCAACCTGCAATCACTGCTTACACTTTTCATTGATGGCCCCTGTCAGTGTTAACCCAGCAGGACTACTACAGCAGCCTTCAGAGTGCAAACAAAGCACTTTGCCACGGATTTCCAGTTCAACGGTTGTGTGCCTATCAATCGCTCACTGCCTCTTGAGGTGCAATTCACGGATGAGTCAGTTGCCTGCTCCCGCATCCTTTCCTCTTCTTGGCGGCAGTGCAGAGTGCTTTAACTGCCCCAGGGCTGGTGGCTGGATGGCACTACAGCATGCACAGTCAACAGCCAACAACTCAACACTCTGCTTGTGGCAAGGATTTCACTATAAACATGCTGGTTGATAAAAAAAAAATGGGTACACCATGAGCTCCATTCAGTGATTATACTAGACCAAATTGCCACCTGAAGGTTACAAACAACATTTCAAATAGGAAATTAACTTACAGACAAAATTATTGTAGCTGATATTTTAAAGAATTTGTGTCACCCTTAATGCTACATTTTACAATTAAAAGGGTACAGAAACTGGAATTTAAACTCCACTACAGTACATCCCTAATGTATATGGGGCAGTTTTTTTCTTGCTTGGTTGTTGCCTGCTTTCCTAATGATGCCAATTTCTCTACTTTTGCAGGAGGCATATAGACTCAGTTTAGTGCTCCCTCTGAGAAAAAAACAACACATGCCTGGAAACCATGCCAACTTTTAACAAAATATTCACAAACTTATAAATAAATAATGAGGCGTAGTCCCAGTTTAGATGTTAGTTATAGATATCATAAGAAATAAGCCAACAACCTAAAAAAACGACTTAAGTCCTAATAAAGCTGATCATAAAACTATTTTATTGAAAATACTCGATTTAACTCGGAAACACAGTCAGCATCTTTTTTAAGGGGAAAAGTAGTAATTTCTTACCGTAATTTATGGCGAGAAGAGAGAACTGGGCAGGTAGTTACCCATTGCATCAGACTCCGCTTTCGTTTTATAGGAAAGAAAATCTCTTTTTTTGTTACTGTAAAATAGGATGAGAGGCAATTGCCAGCGCACGACAGTGAGGTTTTTTTTCGCGATGCAGTCCTCCCTCGCTGCAGTACTTCAGGAAAGGAGAGAGCGAGAGAGGGAGAAGGTGCGAGGGAGAGAGGGAGGGAGGGATGGAGAGAGGGAGAGGGGGGGTGTAATCAATGATTGTACTTCATTGAGTGATGCGGGTAATTCCGTCTGATGGAACAATCTAGTTAGGTGACTGAATGACGTGGAACACTGCAACACATGAATGCTAAAACAGATAGGACATTTCTGTAATTAAACAGGCAGTTTTTCGTCCATTCTACATGGAGGAAACAACACTTAATATAGGGTTGGGATGGGAACAACGAGAATGAGTGTAGGGGAAGTGTTATAATACGCTACATTTTGCTTCAGGGAAAAAGTTGTTATTCTAGGCAAAAACTGCTGTGTCGTCGAAAAGTTTTCGCACCGTAGGTTTCATTAGAATTTTTTTGCAATTTAGTGTATTTAATCTTTAGTTTTATTAGCTGGTCATACCTGCTCTTAAATAAGTGGAGCTGTTTGAGACCTCACCATGCTTTGCAGAGTCTGGAGACGCAGAACGTTGCATCTCAACCACTGGTTCTGTCCAGGTTCTGTCTGTGGTGCTGACCGGCACCTGAACCTCTCATCGCGCCAGGTTTGGTAGCTGATGCCTGTGAACATGTAATGAACCTGTAATGTTACACTTGTCGTGCACATTCGCCAGTTCTGTAAAAAAACGAAAAACAGGTGCATATTTAAATCAAAGTCCTTCCAGATTACCCTAAATGTAATTCAAACATAAATTGTCTGCCCTTAAAATAAGGACTGTTTTATGTATTGTCACAAATATGTGCATAGCCAACATGACCTTGTTTTAATGGCATAAAATAAAAACAAGGTCATTTAATGGTATAAAATAAAAACCTTGAGACTGATTTGAGGCATCCTACTAAGACTATATAAACACAGAGTAAAGCTTTGTATTAGTAGTATGTAGCAAGTCTTGCCATAAACCAGAGGACGAACAATAATAAGAAACCTTAAGCCATGAGCCTGAATTCAGACCCTTCAATAAAAAAATGTGTTCAAAAAACATTATCTTTAGAAATACCTTTTATATATACAGTGGTTAGAGACCTTGGTACCACTTTACAATAAGACTACCCTTATAAAGGGTTTACGAATAGTTTGTCATTTATTTATTAATTAGGTTGTGAACACTTTATAAATCATTAATGAGCTTTTATAAGACATAAGATAAACAGGGCAACTGTGACCGGTTGCTTGCCAAATAGTGAGCCCACATTTATCTGTACTGATAAGCCTTATATTGGCTAATTAGTTTACTTCGTGTTCCTCATCAGCCAGCATCCTTGGTATCTGTTGTTCACTGAGTTGATTCTCACTAAGTAGCCAATATAAGGCTTAGTCATCTTGCCAAAAGAAAACTATGTTAGAACTGGTTTATAAATGGCTCTTAATGATTAATAAAGTGTTTACAACCTAATTCATAACCTAATTAAAACCCCTTTATGAATCCTTTATAAGGGTAGTCTTATTGTAAAGTGGTACCGAGACCTTCTATCATCACAGGCCACAGGTGAATTTGTTGGTATGACTCCTGTATACATGTACAATTATTTGAATTAGTGTGCCACCCTTGCAATATTCTGAATTCATATAAAGTATTTTGTGTTTTACTCCATTGCATAATTTCACATCATAAAATAGCCTCTAAAGAAAGTAAAGTCCTTGTTTTTCATTTTTAACACAGCAAAACACTCTTTTTATGCCCAAAAATATTGAGTTATACTCTTGAGAAACACCACACAAATATTATACAATCCTGTAACAATAATTGCATAACCAAACACAGGCTCTAAGAGATAAGTAGGCTCTTTAGATGAAGTGTTTGACGGTTACTGCCTGTGTGCCTGCTCTGTCAAACCCTAACGCTTCTGAAACCTGTGAGTGTTCGAAGAGAGGGCGCGAAAAAAAGGAGATGGCGGTCTGATGCAAGCACTGGGACATTCAGCCTTTCAGTATTCACATCATTAAAGCCTGCAAACTGCACCGGCGCAACCAGTGAGTCTCGGTCCGCTGGAGATATAACCACCAGCAAGCTCTTTGATGTATTACACTGCATCTATTCTGCTCCCTTATTCTCAATTTTAAAATGAAAACTAGATCTCGAGCACTTCATGTGAAAATGCTTAACATGTAGGACATACAGTAAACAGTGCAGCCTGGTTGTGCATTTGCTTACCGAGTATAAACACTGAAACATGGCTTTGACACTGGTTGTACATCATACTCACAACAAAGGATACTAAATAGGATTGTAAATGATGCATATAGTGTACACAAAGACAAAGACAATACAAAAGCGTGCAAGGGCACACATACACACACACACACACACACACACACACACACACACACACACACACACACACACACACACACACACACACACACACACATGCAAGTAAATAAAAGGAAAGGCATCTATCTTTATCCTCTGAATTTGATGATTCACATAGCAGTGACCTAGGGCTTGGGACACTCTTTGCTTTTGATTCAGAGTTGGGAGACTAACACCCCTCAAGCCATAAGACTCCATTTACTACTGCTGGAGAGCTGAGGAGCACTTAGCTTAATGTACGGGACAGTAGAATGACCCTCACACACACACACAAGCACACACACATTGCGCATGCCAAAATGTTCTCCCTCTCTTTTGTTGCAGGACTCTTTGTCATATAAACATGCACACAAGCAAGAAAGATGATCATGAATTTAAGTGTCTTTTTATCATCGTAAAAAGCACAATACGTTTTATATGCATGTCAAGCCTGCAGGATGGATACTGACATGTAAGAAGAATAGCTGTTGAGGTCATGAATTTACATGCCACAGTAAATGTATATTGGTGGTATGTAATAACAAAAGTAACCATGTTGGAATCCCATAAAGCTCGGCTGGCCGAACAACTTACACCTTTTCTATGCCCGACAATCTATCGCATCTTTGCTGCATGTATTACAAAATATATACTATTTATACAATGCAATGCAAGTGTGTCCCCTACTGGATTTAGTTTTTTTTTAATCTCCTTTTTTTAATATGTACTCTTCTGCTGAGACGTGTAAATATAGTACCTGTGGTGCCAGCTTTCCTTAAGAAATGATAACAGGTGGAGGTAGACTGGAGCGACTGCATGCTGCTTATCGTCATCCAGATTATAAGAAACGGATGTGGACACTGATGGTAATTGTTTCTGCCCTGTGAAGATAGAGGCTCGGGGCTAACTGATTTAGTCTCCGTCTTTCCTCTTAGCCTCCACTGCTCCTCCACTGCTCCTCCGCACTAACATGGCTGACCACTTTATGATGGAGTCAGCATTTCTCAAACTATAGAATAAAGACAAAATATATGCATCCTTGTTGTCTCTTACCTGGTGTTTGATACTATATTTGTGGGAACAATGCAGCCATGATGCATTTACAATTGTGGGCAAATTCAGTACACAAGCATTCCTAAAGCAAAACAAAAGGACACTGGTGTCACTGATAGAGAGATGTGATGGATTAGAGAGGCCCAAGGGGGAAGTCCTGGTCCATCAAAATGTAATGAAAACTAATTTGAAAACAGCAGGCAGCTATGAATTGGTAACATTGTGTTCAGTGAGAGGTCATCATTGTCTCATATGTGAGAAAAATGGGTTGATAACATTACGATTGATGATAGCACATTAGTTGTTGTCTTCAGGAGTTATGGCTGTCTGTAAACACGTCTGACTGAAAATCGATCAAGGGCAGAAACAATTTTACACCAAGTCTATAATCTAGTTTCACAACTGGAACGCATAAAATACAATTACACAAACACAAAACAATATACAGGACGTTATACCTTTTGGGGGGATCAGTTAAATACAAAAATGCAGTGAAAAATACAGGCAAAAAGTACTGTAAGAAAAGTTCCCTCACAAAGTCAATTTGTACAGGTACAGACAATTATTTCCTCATTTCTGTTCTGTCTACCATTGCGAGGTCCTGAATAGTCTAACGTACCTGAGCTATAATACCAGGGGGAAGAAAGTCAAATGGATTATGATTATTGTCCTGGAACAGATTGAACGGGCTACGAGAGAAGAGTGTGAGCTGAATCCCATTTCACACACAAGCCTTGTGTTTTTCTGTTGCTGAAAGGGAGGGAGGTGAAATCTACAAAAAGGGATCTAAAGAAGGGTTTCAGGCAATAATACTTGCTTTAATCCAACCAATATCAACAGCTTATTACCTTTGTCTGGATCAAAATTGTGTATTATTTCATCAATGGATGTCTAAATGTGGTTCAAAAGACCTGCTGATGAGTTCACGGACTGTATGTGATTTGTACTAATCATAACAGTGGATTTTTTACTTGATCATTTAATATTATTCATTTTAAATAAGCATATTATTTTATGGATAATTTGATAGACTGTAAATGTATTTCTTTTCACATGAGGCAAAAAAAAGATGTGATTAATGGTACAAAACATTAAAAACGAACAAACACAAAAAAAGAGGTTAAGTAAACCAGACCAACAGTTGGCTTTTATGTATTGTTCTTTTGAAGTAAGACAAAAACAAAGCCTTCCATTGCAGTTGTCTGTGTCTAACCAGATGTTGTTGTAATGACTGAATAAAGGCAGGCAAGCATAGAAAAATGTGCAGTTTAACATCAACGGCACGATGAAAAACCAGAGCACCTAAAGCCAAGTTGGTTTGGATGACAAAATAGTCACCCTAAAAGAGAAACTGTGATGAAAACATCACCAAAACCTTTCAAAAAATGTGAATCATCTGCTCGAAAATGGAAATAAGTAATCTGTGAGAGCTACAGCTTCCTGTCATTCAACAGGAAACTTCCACTCCCCACAGAGCAGCAGGATTATCCTCTGTGCCTCACGCTTCTGGTTCAAATTCACAGCCTGCGTCAACAGTCAAGACAGGTATAATGAAATGTGTGTGGGTGTCTTTGCCAGGCGGTGCTTGCAAAATATGATCATTCTGTTTATTTATAATAAATATTTGATATGGAATGTTTCTGTTTGAGTCCTTTTCACGTTGAAACTGCTGTTTCTTAAAGGGGGAATTACTGCACTGTCACCAATGTCACAACCACACGTTCCCCCTTTCCAACGTCAGCCTGCAGGTCTCATGACAATGCTAACAGGACACCTTTGGAGAGTGAAGTACTCAGAGCCAGGTGGTGAGGAGGCTCCCGCCCAACAGTACTGTTTGCAGCTCTGCCACGGCTGAGAGCGACCATATGTCTATTCTCTCCAGAGAGTCCGTCCTAGCGCAGGACTGCCAAGCCGTGAGTCCTATCCCACATATGTGCCTTAATACTGTCAAGCACTGGGTCTTCAGGGGGTTGAGACATTGCTGTTATTCAGTTTTTGAACCATTGTTTACTCTGTGTTTGTCTTTGTTAATAACAGAGAAATGGCAACTGATAGTTTCACAGGGTGGTATTCCCTCGAAAACTTAAACCCTCTTTGGAGAGGTAAGCTTGCTTCCTTGTGGTAATTTAATCAGTTAATCTTTGTTCAGCACGCCAAGCTACTGTGATGATACACAGATTGGAAACAATGCTTGCTCCCATATGTGATATATCAATGGGCACTGATTTGAAGATGCCTAACATGTGTTTCAAACACCCTTATTGGATTGTGAATAATAAAAGAATGAATGACAATCCTAGTTTTACACAACAATGTATAAAGAGGTACTATACCTTTACCATTATTTTTTTTTCATTGTTGTGAAATTCTAGATCCTAGTTGTGTGTGTGGGTGTGTGTCTGTTGGCAATAGGCTACGAATCCTCCTAATATAAGACACAACAAGTACCATATTACTCACTTAAGCTGGTGCTGGTACTGGATGTCACACTAATCGTTAACCAAATGCACTTTATTGTCAAAATCACAGAAAAAAGCTGAAGTGGACCTTTTTGTTTGTACTGTAGTGGTTACAGCTGGAGGACTCAGCGTTGTTCCGCTTACCGTTACCACGGAAACATTGTACCCAATGAGAGTCGATGTAGCAGGGTGCTGTGGGAACAGTAGCCAATCATAGAGTCTGTTGTTTAAGAGTCACTTGGTTTGAAATGGCAAAGCAAGCGTTTTCTAACTGACGGACTAACTTGGGAAACGGAGAAGTGTGGTAGACTGCAAATACATATAAAAAAGGTAACTTAAACATTTCCGAAAGTAGCGTAAATGTACACCTATTTGCTGGGTAACGTTAGGGTACTATTTAGTAAATAGTATTTACTATAGTTATACTTTGTATCAGCGATAATGCTAACTCAATTGCTCCATGAAGTGTGTATCGAAAGCACGTTTTTTAAATATGTGACGTTTGCTTTACATTTTCTTAACCAACTACGTAGCTAACAAATCATTGATGTGTCAGTAACATAGACTTTAAAGGTCAGTAAGCAAGACATATCGTAACTTGCAGTAACTGTAGAGGAAGTTGCACTAGCACATGTAAGTCCTGTTTTGTAGGCTGATTTAAGATATGGCAAAGTGTGTTTAGTTGACATTACAGGTGAGAGTTTACATGTTGCCTACCAAACAACCACGTGATCCAGCAGCGTCTTCCTCCTCAGCTTCAAACAGTCTGTAAAAGAGGGTTAGCTTGCAACCAAACCCTTCCTCCCACTTAGGGACCATCAATACATTATCGTTTGAATTACAATGTTAAACCAATGTTTCTTTCAATACCTCCGTGCAAACTCGCCAACATTAGTGTAAATAATGCTAAAATAATTATAATAAATGTGCCTTATGTGGCACCCATTTTATTAAAAACACACACAAATATAGTTGTATCATATCAGTTTCTTCCATCACATCTGATCCAGTGACTCACATATCAGTGCTTCATCATCGTATTACTACAACGGAAAAACAGGACCCACCTCTTTTTATTGGGTTGTAGTGCTTCTTCTTAATAAACATGATCATTTCCCCTATGATTTAAAAGAACAAAACCTATACAACAACATATATTTGTAAAGTATTCAGAATCAAATTAATTTAATATAATATACAGCTATTTATTGTGACTCGGTGTGCACGCCATTGATAGTTTGTGCTGTAGTTGTGTCCTTAAACTTACACATTCCATCTTTTTACATTTGTAAACATGTTTGTGTCTAGATGTCCTCAGACGAAGAGGAACCGACCAGTCCTGTTCTGCCAAAGGACTCTGATCGAGGGAGCTCTGTCTCCTCTGAGCTTCAGGTGGATAAAGAAAAACAAAAATGAATGTGCCTTTATCACATCTCTCAGATCTGGGAAATAAATCCCCAAATTGTTGATGATGACTTGAATATAATAATGTACTTATAACCAATAGGAACAATTGCTATGAAAATAAGATACAGACTGTAAATCCCTGTATTTATAGATAGATATAGTCATTTATGGACACTTGAGCTCACTTTTTCTTTATCAATTGTTTATGGATCAACAGGATGAGTATGAGGAGCTCCTCCGCTATGCTGTGGTCACCACTAGGCCTGACAGACCCACCAGTTCTCACGTGCAGCGGTTAGGCACCTCCCATCTATCTGCAGAGGGTCGGTGTTCCCAGAGAAAAGATGACACCAAATCAACGCGCCCAGCAGGTATCTTGGGTTCCCCTTGTATGTGGGGCAGACACACACACACACACATTTTACTAAGCCTCTCTGACAGAAACACAACTCAAGCTCTTCACGACACTACCCCCATCAAATGATCAGCAGTCAAAAAAGGATTTGGCATCGCAACATGGAATAGGTTGTGTTTATCAGCCTTGTATTTTCAGAATGTAACCCAAGATGCATAAGATAGCAGTCAGTCAGATTTTACCCCCTATCTGTTTCCCCTACGATACCCACATCTTAAACAGTCCATCACCCCCCCCTCCCCAGCTCCAGCTGCAGCTCTCATTGGAGGTTTAGTGCTTTAACTGTCATGGAGTAGTGCACTGGGATGTAGAGAGGAGACGGCCGATTGGTAATGATCTCCTGGCTCTCTGCCCGCACTGCTCTTTAGAGTGCAGGCTTTCTCTTCCCCCTGCAGGATTTAATTAAGATATTGACTTAAATGCATTCCTGGACGAGGAGCCATGCTCATCTTATTCAGCATTCTCACCATCACCTTTTTTGTTCTTGAACCGTCTTTCTGGCTTTCACATTTTAACTTTGAATTTCACTCACTTTTTCCAGGTTAAAAATGTAGTCAAGCAACATTCCCTCTTTAAGTATTTACCATTGGACCTTCCTCTCTCTTCCTTGTCTGTTGTCAGATACTGCGACTCAAGCTACAGATGGAAGGCATTCGAGCAGGAGTGTGAGGTCAACACAGGTCTCCCCCTTAATTGTTGAACCCTCCACACACTCAAGAGCCTCTCAGGGTAAATTTAATAAAATAACCAAAACGGTTGGGCCCGATTTTATATTCATTTATCTTGATATAACATACGTTTTTTTAAATTCAAAGGTCACACAGTTGCAATATTTCGAATAATATCCTTTTTTTTCTGCGTTTCTTTTGCCTTCCAGCTGAGGAGACGGCAGGACGGTCGTCTAGCAGGGCGTCGGTGCCCTCTAACGCTGCCTCAGAGAGGGGACCGACGGTGTCTGAGGGGTCCGGGTCAAACAGCCCAGACCCCCTCGAGTCTGCTGTGACAGAAATGTTTATCTCGGAGGAAAACATAAGCAAGATGGAGAACATTCTTGATACGTGGAGCAACAACCTGAAGGTTAGTGTGCTCTCTCATACTGTAGCACTGTCCCTACACACTCAATCAATGTAATGGCCCTCATTGGCTGACTGCTTGAGAGCGGACCATAGATAACGGCGCAGGGCTATATATAGGGCTCTCACAATGCTGAATAATAATAATTGCGACAGTGTGTTTTAGCAGTTTACAGCAGAGTCGACGCAAGCTGGCAGGTTTATTCTTGATATACTGAAATGAGAATTCAAGTTATGCATAATATAAAAATCTATGGTACAACAGAGTATTATTTAAACTTTTATCAGAGCAATCTAGAAGCAGTTTGCTTTTATGCAGTTTGTGACATAGATGTTTTAGTTTAACAGAGGTTCATTTACACAACCTAAAATATGTAATGCTGGAAATTGCTCAAACGCTTTGATTTTGTTTATTTGTCACCAACACAGTTAGTTTCAGAGTATATCTAATGATAAATAATGTACTGGTTTGAGCAACTGAAATCTGCATGCATGTATTCAGCTTATATTGATATTTCCCACACTCGTGCAATGAGACAGTTTGACTGAGATAGATTACATGTCAGTAATACTGTGGGCAATTTACGTAAGTGATGGTGAGGAGGAGGTCAGAGATTATAAAGGGAATGTAAAGTCCCAAAAAGGCTTACTGAATACGATAACAGCTCTTCTGTTCATGGGACCAGTGACCTTTTTATGGAGGAGGTGAATTCCTGGGCGTGGTGGGTGCACACATCTTGACATTTGTGGATGTTGATTATGTTTGACCCTGTAGACATTAATAGACAAGTGTTAACTGCTCATGCTACATAACTTAAACATCCCCGGTTTAATTTCAAACATGAGATCTTTGTTGCATGTCATAACAATATCTCTCCCTTACTAGACTTATGTGTGCACTAAAGGCAACATGATAAAGTGTTTAAGCATGTAGATATTTAGCTTAGGTCAAATGATTTGCTTCTAGAGCCAAATGTACATTATATTTCTGTTTTATGGTGTTTTAGCATGTAGTAGCCTGTTCTAGACCTCTGTAAGGCACACCTGTCAATCTAATTTGAAAAGGATTTAAGACATGCCATGTCCATATTGACTAAATCTGGGTAATGAACACGTTGTGACTGTCCCACCCTTTATTTCCTAATTAGTCAAATGTGCTGACGGAGCTCAGGAAGTGGAAGCTGGCCTTCATGGAGAAACACAAGCTGGAGATAAGGAAGGAGAAGGAGAGGTATGAAGCCCAGTCAGCTGGCCTGAGATCAGAGATAGACGGCCAGAAGGGACTGCTACACACCTACGAGACCTCCAACCAGAGGAAAGACGAGGTGACTTTATTTTCTTTCTCCTGTAGATAATGTGCTGGTGGGTTGAATATGGATTCAGTATCAGACTAAGATGTTACCTTCTGCTTGCAGGACTGGGTGAGCTTATTCCATGTCTAAACCATCAGCCCCATATCTCTTTGTTATTGCACATCATGTTAGGGCTGTGCAATTAATCGTATTTTAATCTCAATTACGATTTTGGTTTGCAACGATTACGAAAACAACGTAATCGAAATAAAACGATTATTAATTTTATTTAAAAAATGTAATTGTTTTATTTTTAAATTATTTTTTTAATTGTTTTTTCAGTTGAATTATACTTAAAGTTCAGGGTAATCAACTGTTAAAAACATACTGGTCACATTTTTTATTTTTTACTGAAATTATGATGACAACTTTGTCCTTGTTTTTCCTCCCTCAGGTGATTGCGAACCTGAGCCAGGTGCTGGAGAGACAAAAAGAAAAGCATGAAAAAATGAGGGCCTTCACCCACTGGAGACTGAAGCTCACTGAGGCCAAAGAGGAGGTAAACTGATGGCCTTGTGATGCTTCCTACAGGCTTTTAGTACAACATTAAAGTAACGTGTGTGTGTTCAGATGAGCATCACATGTAATATCTCAACATCTTATGATCGTCTATGAAGCCTGATTAAAATCCTCACTTTAGGATATGATCTGTGGTGTTAGTCAGGTTTAATCACAAAGTTAAAAAACTATTTCTTTCGTTGTGTCTTTTTATACATGTTTTTTTAGGGAAATACATGTAAAATGAATGTATCTTAAAATTGCTAGATTACTGTTAGTGCAGTTTAATGGTTTATGCTAATGATAACTCTCTGCTTGAGTTACCGACCCATGCATCACTATGTCACCGCACAGTTAACATGCATATGCCATATTTTTCACTAATATTCCCTCTCACAAAATGTACACATGTGATATTCTGTACATGCACTGATGAACAAGATGTTCCCTCTCACACCATAATGTTATCAAACTAACAAAGGCGTTACATTTTCTACATTTACAAAATAGCTGTTTATGCCATTTATTTAAAAAGCTAAATATACTGGAGGACATCATTTTGGTCCAAACCATTGCCCAGAAGCGCCACAAGAGAGAATGTACCACACCTGCACAAGAAGGAATTATGGGTGTAATTATTTCCGTGTGAATATTTTCATGGTGTTGTGGTTCCCTGCTAGGCTCACGCTGCTCGGGTAGCGCAGCAGCACTACAATCTGCAGCTGAAGAAGAAGGTGTGGTTCGGCTGGCAGACCCTGATCCAGAAACACTGGAAGGTCAAGGTGGAGCGGGCCTGTCGCGCGCGGGCAGAAGAGGTGTGCACCCGCCTGTCTGCAGAGTACGAGGCCAAGCTGGCAGAGGTAACTAAGCGAGTTTCAAGGTTTTATCGTCATTTGCACATTAGCTACATTGTAGATATGGCAATGAGGAACTTAGGTCACAGGCTCCTTCAACAGTGCAACATTATATATAGAACAGATAAAATAGTGCAAGAGAATGTTTTGAGATGTGAATACAAATTAAAAAAAATAGTGCAAGAAGAGTCTATATACAAGTCAGGGCCCGGAAGCACTATTTAGCCCCCCCGGGCCAGCATAACGTACTTTCCACTTGCCCCCTCCGGCCACTAAAAATATTGCTTTAAAAAAAAAAAGAATTGTCCTGTGGTATTGGTATTTTGACAAGCAATTTTTTTAATTGTTTAGTTTATTAACGCTACAACATAGCGTTTCGTGAGGCGGTTGTCCCGTGTGGGAGCGTGCTCGTTCACGACAGACTTTCTCGCCACCTAACCATTCGCCAAAATGTTTTTAATACCAGCGGTAACCGGCCAAGCGCCGGGCATAAAACAATCTTCAAATAAAAGAATGTCACCGGAAGAGTTAAAGGAGAGTGACGGGGAGTATGAGAAGAAGAGGGAGAGGAAGTTTCAGCCACACTGGCTTGATCGATGGAGTTGGCTTCTATATGATGATATAAACAATGTCGGCTCTGTACATCGATGCCGACCTATGCTGACAAGTGAGTGAAGAGTAGAAAATATAAAGGTATATTGGCTATAGGGAGTTAGAAGTTTAGGATAATGAAGGTTCTAATCTATTACATAGCCATTACATCTAACTCCTAATGACAGGAAGGCAGAAAGCGCATTATACAAATAATAATATACTCATAATAATGATAATAGCAGACATTTTTTAACAATGACCACAATATAATTATTTTGATAAACCAAATATGAACAATTGAGGGAAATGAGGAAGAACTGATGATTGTGTACAAGTAGTAATGTAGTTTGTGCATAAATTACTATTGCAACAAATGTGTTAATTTTCTTCATTATTAGTTGATTTTTTTTGGACGAATGCTCTTGGGCCAGTGGTTACAATGGTGGGGCCAGTGGTTACAATGGTGGGGCCAGTGGTTACAATGGTGGGGCCAGTGGTTACAATGGTGGGGCCAGTGGTTACAATGGTGGGGCCAGTGGTTACAATGGTGGGGCCAGTGGTTACAATGGTGGGGCCAGTGGTTACAATGGTGGGGCCAGTGGTTACAATGGTGGGGCCAGTGGTTACGGGCCAGTAGAATTTTACCCTTAATGTCTACCCCTGCAAGTTAATGGAATGATGTACTGTATTAGATAAATAATGAGCAAAATGCAAACGGATGAATGTTTATGGATGTTCTTTAAAAAGTTCAGGTGTTTTAATAGTCTTATGGCCTGAAACAGTAGTGCCCGATACAAAACAGTATAGTGTCGCTGCATTGCTGAAATGATATGTGACTTAATTGTAAGAATCCCAGCCACACGTATCTTGATTTATAGATTGCGGTTAATTAGGGGAAATGTTGTTATTAGTGTTGTAGCATATGGGTGCAAAACAAAAGCATAATAATGAAAGCAATGAAATGAACAGGTGTTTTAGGCAGTGATATATTCTGTGATGAATGATCTGATGAATGATTGATTGTTTCCCTCCTCTGCCACCTGTCTCGCAGCACTGCGAGGCTGTAGAGAGGGCTCAGGCTGAGATTCAGAGACTGCGACTGGAGCGAGAGCGCTATGAAGAGTCTATGAAGAAAGCCTTCATGAGGGGCGTGTGTGCTCTCAACATGGAGGCTCTCGGCATGTTTCAAACTACAGAGGGACGACTGGAGCAACCGGCTCATGATCAGCACGGTCGGTAATTGAATGACATCACAAGCCCAGTAACTACATAAATAGACCCCAGCTCTATTCAACAAAGCATAAAGGCATTGCGTCTGTGCTGCATTGATTCAGCTCAGCTATCAAGACAGAAAGAAACGACATTTCTCCAATAGAGTGCTGCCGCGTGCTATTGGCAATTGTGTAGATTTATGAATGAATGAGTGGAGGGTGGTCTTTCTTCTTTTCTTAAAAGTCATTCACTGACTCATGTAATGGAAGAGTGAGTCAATGGATGTGCTGAGTGCTAACTAAGGCGTACTTTGAACAGGTTACAACCTTGATGTGACACTGAAAGATTGGCTGGAAAAGTGAAATAGCATTTTGCAACATTTATTGAATCATGTAATCGCTGCTCTTTAGGGGTATGTTAGTGTTGTGGATATAGGGTTAAGGGCTTGGGACAATACAGGACATTGGAATTCAATTTATTTTAGACTCACATGAAGGTCCAAAGCAATTATTAATAGAAAGGAAATATAAGATATATGGATATCTCTGTCAACATTCAAAAATGAGAAAATGTGTTTTTCTCCAATGTCCTGACAGGATTATTTCAAAAGTGGATCACAGGAAAATCGTTTCTTCTCCTCTTGACTTTTGACTATCCTGTTTCTCTTTTTGGCGTTTTGACACAATCATAAACCTTGGAGCGGACAATGGCACTTTCATCTGTAGCCAAATTGAAATGCAACAGGTCAAAACTGCTAATGTTCACAAGGCATTTAAACAACAAAGTACTAATAAGCTCAGTACTTGCACTGAAAGCTCACTCAGTGTGACACCATCACCTGCACACAGTCCCATTAACACCAGTAAGGACAGATCTAAGGTTTCATGCCTTCAGCACTAGATTTAAACCCTGCGATCAGCGTGCAACAAAAGTCAGGATCAGGCCACGGTTCTGTTCTGCTGTTCTGGAGCTATTTCTGGTTAGCACATGGCTGCGGAAGATGGATCTCACTGTTTTTAGCTTGTGCAAATGAACTCTAGCATGGTCTTCTGTTCATCCATCTGCTTTCAGGTTTAATGAGTCTTGCAACCTAAAACGCATTTCATTATGTGATGTGTCAAACTGCGACGTTAATTTAATTCTCTTTTTCTTTCTCTTACTCATCCTCTTCTTTGCCAACCAGACCTCTACAAAACACGTTGATATAGAGCAGATATATTATAAGAGTTATGCATAATCAACCCTTGTGTTGTGTTAAAAAGCTGTTACCGTTCATGGTGTTCGCGGGTCAATTTTGACCCATGATTTATCTCAGTCCAAAACACACAAATAAAATGACTATCATCCAATATTGTTTTAACTACATCATAACTAACTTATTATGCATTCATAACCGTACAATCCTGTTGTAATTTAATGTTATGGCCCAAAACACATTATACAACATATGGCACACGTGCATATGTGTGTTCAGGTTCAAGTGTTAGTGTACATATTCTTTGAGAAAGGTCGAGTTCCCGTGGGGGGAGGGGGGCAGAGGGAGGGGAGACCAGGTGCATGTTGCGAACAATTATTGTTACAGTGGATGAAGGGGGTGAGGGTGGGGTGTCTAAAGTCAAAGATGAATCTTGATTCGGCCAAATTTGACCTCGACCTTGTCACCCACAACAATTCTGCTGGGTCTCCCCAAACACCAACACCAAATTATACACTTTTTCTTTTAGAGACCTTCAGACTTGGCAAAATGTGTCAAAATCTGTTTTGTAGTGTTAATATAGCTGTTGTGGAGGATATCATGATGCCTTGTTCCGATATAAAAAAACTAGAGCGTAGTTATTATATAATTTTAACTTGAAACGGGTCACGGGAGACCCGAACACAACATAAGGGTTAATGATCAGCCACCTGCTAAATCTGCCAAAGCATGAGAGTGTTGGTTGGCACTGACTTCTCTGCTACATTTTTTGTTTGAATTCAAGTTCAAATCAAGTTTTATTTATATAGCATATTTTTAAAACGATTTTTGGTCGAGCCAAAGTGCTGTACATATAATAATTACCTTACAGTAAGGACACTTTACAGAAAATACAACAGCACAGTTTGTGCAGAATATCAGTATGAGAAAAACCACACTCTCTGTCCTTTAGACCCTCACATCGTACAAGGAAAAACTTCCGGAGAAAAAACCCACAGAATTGTTAATGTTAACACTTGTTCAAACAGAGATGAGAGCTAGACAGGGAAATTGCTCCACCAAATGTAAAAATAATAATATATGGGGAGGTTTTTAATTCTCAGGTTAACCAAACCAGTTGAATTGGAATATTTTCTTGTAACAAACTTGTGCCAATATCTTAACGCAATTATTTGTTTGTTTCTGTAGATTTTCCGCCTCCCCAGGATGAGCCTGGCTCTGCTCCATTGGCTCATCTGCCAACATTTCCCATCCCTACCTCCCGGTTCAGCCCAGTCCACTTTGACCGCCCGGACCCTTCCCACAGTGAAGCAGAGGATATGGTGAGACAGTTTCCAATGAAAACTCTTTGACAAACCGTAGTTCCCCTATAACGCTTTTCAATTTCTTATCAAATATTTAATTTGATCAGGGAATCCACTTGTATAAAATGTAAAAACTCTTTGAGTTGGGATAACTTATCGTTTTTGTTTGTTGCTACAAATTCTGGCATCGCACTGAACTGTACTCATGAAGATGCCACTAAAACAGAAATGTTCTTACAGTATTGTTTAAATAAATAGTGTTCCTGTTTTCCCTTATTAATGTTTCTCAGATGGGTTCTGGTGCCCCCACGTCCCGGGCAGAAATGATCCCTCCCACTACAGTAGTGCACAGCTCCCTGCCACTAGGGGGCGCTCCCAGTCCCCACAAACAGGTTAGCATTACACAAACTGATCTATTGACTCTGGTACAACTTGTTTCAGGTAATGACAGTGTCAAACCTTTCACAACAGCTATGTGAAACTATGACGCTTCAAATAAATGGTTATCAAAATGGTGAACAATGACACAGAATTAAGTTTAGAGCAAGTCTAACTACAGTAATCACATTTATACATGACGCTATAATGTTTATTTTTTTCAGGGGGGTGGTCGTGTCATCACAGCCAGTCAACAGAAACCTTTAAAGACGGTAACGGCTCGCATCACTGCGCGCTCTGACGTCTTGAAGGCCGCACGCAGCAACCTCCAGGTGATGGGTGTGGCTCCGCCCATGAGCTCTGTGATCGTTGAACGCCATCATCCTGTCACTCAGGTACGGGACAGTGTGCATCACTGCTGTAATCCTGTGTTATGTTGTGTGTTCACCCAATGATGATCATTTCCTGTTGCTTCTCTTCCAGCTCACCATTGGTCAGGCCACAGCTGCTAAGTTCCCCCGTCCCTCCAAACAGGTCCAGAGCTCCTCCGCAGGCAGGAGCTCCTCCAGAACACACAACAACACGTGCCAAGTACACTCCATCAAAGTGGTTGACTAACCACACACATATCGCACGGACAGTGTTCTTCACCTAGTGACATTTTAAATGGTTACACATCCTATGCAACAAACCTAGAAATAGTTGCCATGGCATACATTCGGTCCATTTTATTTTGGGGTGAATTTGCCCTTGTTGCTTTTTGAAGTAGTGTTTTTAGCTTCCTCTCATGAATGTGTTTCTTTAGCAATAGAATCTTCTCTCAGGAAAGAGCCACACAGATACAGGTGTTTAGAAATGCACATGGACATGTTTTACAAATACCAGCTTGACGGAGTGTAGAATGGAAAAATGGACATGTATTTTTATGAACACTTTTAAATTATGCACAGGTGAGACTGTACTGTAATGTTTAAAATGCATGTTTTAAGTATTTATTTTATTGACGTTTTCTATTAAGACCGTCCAACACCACAGGTTGTTTTCTTTACTAAACCAAAGCCATATTTTGATGATCTAAATAAATTATTTTACTGCTAACTTCTTGTATCATTGAACACTTTATTAAGACGACGTTGATGTCAGTCCATATGTTGCATAGCTCATTCTTATGAAATGCTGCAGTTCTTACTGCTGGAACTCTCTGCCTCCATCCGAATCCTATCTGTAAGACAAATGAACATTTTCTTAATACAATTTTTAGCACAAATCCCCAGGCCTGAGATTTTGCAGTAAACTGAATGTACCTGCAGCTTTCCTGTTCCCAGTGAGGATTAGGCCCTGGTAGAGCTCTTTCGCAGGGCTCCTCTCAGCCAACTCCTCCCCGTGGAGCCAGATCAGCAGCATCCTGTTCCCATGCTCTTTATAGCTGTGCTGACCTGTGGACAAACACACAACACTGTAGAACCAGGAAAACAACTTTGAATTTAAAGGTTTATCAATATATTATAGGTCTCAGATATATACAAAACATGTCTCTGAAGTGTTTTGCTCCAAACACCAAACAGATCATTGTAGCATCCCATAATCCCCTCTGTTTCAGCCCTGTTTCAAACATGCTGATTCTCTGTCTGTTACTTTAGATGAAAATAAGGAGCCCCTCCCCACGCCCCTCTGAGAAATATTTGGTTAAAAAGAACACAATGGTGCTCTAGGAGGAGATTCAGGTGATAAGGTGGAGGGGGGGGGGGGGGGGGTACCTTGATGGTTAGTGGCTAATGGTTACACAAGCCAAAAAATCGTTATGACATCATAAAGTGGCCAAAATCTGATCAGCTCATTTTCAGACAGGTTTTTATATAAATGGATCAGGATAAAAAGAGAGCGAATCTTTTTTCCTGAAACTTTCAGAATCTCTTTACACAGAGGGGACACATGTTTATGTATAAAAGACATGAAAAAGTGCATTTTGCATAATAGGTGACCTTTAAACTAAGTTAGGGAATGTGTCTATGCATCGGAAAATAAAAGAGCAACATAATGAACTAGTATGTTGATGATGATAATGATATTCTTTACATTGCCAAAAATTCAGGATTTTAAACTAGATTTTTTAGTTTTTGACACAAACTATATGTTATACTAGTTCAGAGAATGCACAGTCGACAGCAAAGTGTGTCCAGTCGGTGTGAGTTATGGCACCTGTCCACTGCTCCTCGATGGCCGAGACTTGCTCTTTAGTGAAGCCCCAGTTTTCAGCGAGTCTTTTCCAGTCTCCAGGTTTCAGGAGCTCGTACGCCAGGCGCCAGGCCATGGAGCGGAGCTGCTTGGTCTCAAAGCGGTGGTCGAGTTTAAACCTTAGCGGATACTCGCTGTGAATGCTCTCATTAAGTTCTGGGTTGGCCTGAAAGAGAAATTAAATGATGACAGCAGATTGATAAAGGCCAGAGAGCGCATAGGTCATGGAAAGAGATTATTGGAAAGACACACACACACACACACACGCACACACACACACACACAATTAGCAATATGAATACCAGAGTCAAACACTTTTTAAATCAAGAAGGGGAAGGAATCAGGCGTGACCTTAATTCAATTGATGGTACATTTGCTGTCAAATGCTTCTGGATTGCGAGTCATTTGTCACTGTGGATGCTTTAATAGTATTAGAGGGGATTCAACCAATCTAGAATTTGACGTTAGGAAATCAATCATTTGTGATGAATGTAGTCATTGATTTCAAGGCCTCGCGAATGGATAATGGCACACATGAAAACCATAAAAAGTATGCATTTTTGTATGATTTCACCTTCCTCCAGGCGTAGTATCTTTCTGCTTTGATGATCATGTCAACGATTATCACCTCGTCTGCTCTGGCTGCCACACCCAGGGCCGTCTTGTTCTGCTACTCCCAATCCAACATGTACAACAAGATGAATACACTTTCAGTTTCAATGAAGCATGCATGCTGTTTTGCTTTGAATTATATATTTGTGTGCCTTTTGGATGGCTCAACCATACGATTTTGGCCAAGATTAAGACCTGATAAAAGTGTGCACATATACAAGAGTAACATAAATGGTAACTTAACTATGTTAGCTTTAGAAAGTCTGTTTGTGAGAAGTCTTACCCTGTCCCTGAGTGTCGGATCCAGCCCTGATTTAAGAAGCATTTCCACCACTTCTGTTCTGGCCAGCTCTGCAGCGAGATGCATGGCAGTCTGGGACCTCTGATAGGACGGGACAATGCAGCACATATTTGTTTATTTTCAGATACGACTGACATCTTATTTACTGTTACCAAAAAGATCATACCTTATCAGTAACATTGACGTTGCAACCAGCCTTTAGTAGACAATGGATGACAGGGATGTGACTGTTCTTCACTGCCAGGTGGAGAGGAGCCTCTAGGTTCTGAGAACAAAAATATCCTATTATACAACATGAGCCCAAAAAATGAAATGTTAGCGTAGGAGAAAAATATGTAAAACTATAATGGTGCATCCAGGCAGAATGTCAGCTGCACAGCGTGTGTGTGATCTGTGTTACCAAAAACTCAAGAGAGAGTGTACTGCTGCCACCTAGCTTGTGTTAGCTCACCTGATTCTGGAAGTCTGTATGGGTTTTGTAATCTAAGAGGAGCTGGACAACAGATGTGTCTCCTTTTTCTGAAACTGGATGGAGAGCACTGCAATTGGCCTGAAAGAGAGAGAAGTTTAGCTGTATGCCTACCTACAAAATATAATCATTCGAGAGCAATCCATTATTGACCGCAAGGCACCAGGTCAGTGATTTGGTGAATGGACTGTACCTATATAGCGCTGTATCCAGTCTTTACGACCCCTCAGTCGCGCATTTTAAATGTTGAGTTAATATTTGAGTTAGACTTAAACCTAATATTTAAGTTAGTATTTTTGCCAAGTGAAATTGCTTAGCAGCATTAGCAATGCAAAGTAAGAAAAGCGTAAATATTACATTACATTACATTGCATTGCAAATATAAAATATCTAAGCTAAAAATAAGGTGCAAATCCAAAATATATATACAATGCCAAATGTAGGTTAATTTAGTATGGATCATAAACACAGGATAAACATAAATTGACGGTAGGGACCATAGGTTGGGTTGCATATAGATATGTACGTACATTACCAAATATGAAGGGTAAGTGTAACATTTATTGTCAGTATAGTGGCCCTTTGTACCTTTGTGAGGATGTTGGGGTCGCAGCCAGCCTCCAATAGGAGCAGAGCACACTCTTCCTCACCGTGTTCTGCAGCCTGGTACAGAGCTGTCTCACCTTCCTGCCACATGCAAACCATGAATACATTTCTTTATAGGAGTGGTGCAATAACCATAACAGAATCAGAAAATTATTCTCAGGTGGAAAACAATTTTAAAATGATTATTATCACAACACTTAAACGTTTCAGACCAACTAGAAATCAGAATTCCAATGGCATTCGTACACTGAACAGGTATTACCATTCATATTCCAAAAATATTGAATATTGCTTTCTGCTAGTCTGCTATTTAAAAATTATTCGTTAACAGGTAACGACTGTCATTTCAATTCAGTAAGTTTACCAAACAGAGCTGGAGTTAAAGCCCTAACACAGTTTGCCTTTCTTATATTATAGTAGCCTGTACATGTTTGATACATCTTAATTAATCCTAAATGGAGCCACTGTCCAGCAGTGGATAAGCCAGTGAGCACACACTGTCACAAACCAAACTGTGATAGAGAGGATGTTTACACTGATTGTCTACCATATTGACTTCATCCCGAGTATCAAAGCTCTGCAGCAGCGATTGGACGGTGGCCAGGTGGCCGTTCCTGGCAGCTAAGTGCAGGGGCGTGTCCCCACGCTGCAGAAGGGAGGGAGGGAAACACCTGGCATCAAAGAGGGCTGAGCTTCATCGCAGGGGTGACACACAAATGTGCACTCAGACACGTGTTGGCATAAATAACCAACAACAGATAAACAAGTCAACACACACCTTGTTGGGCTTCATGGTTCCCATGTCATATGGCACCATCAGCATTTCCAACATTTCAACACACCCATGCTCTGCTGCCAATGCAAATGCCCGGTGACCTGACTGAAATACAATAATTGAGGTACAAACAACCACATGTACTGCAATACCTTTGATATCGCTCAGACAGTGAATTATGAAGTTGATATATGAAAATGAGTGATGTAGATACCTGGTCTTCTTTGTCCAGTTCTTTCATCTGCAGGTCATTCATTATATACTCTATGATTTCAGTTTGGTTATTGATAGCAGCACAGTGCATGATGTTCAGTCCTTCCTGAGGTGGAACAAAAAGTCAGTGTTTTTATGAAGCAGTGTTGCAACTGGAACACAATGATATAACAGAAGTAACAGGAGCCTCTGGGTTCATGATAATAATGAAACAGGCACACAAATGTTAGGTTCAAAATCAAGCATAATACAATTGAATTGACTCTTTATTTCGTTTTTTAAATGTTTCAAAAAATGCCACAAATGTATCATATGATTTTCCGTTGGTAACTGATAAACCATAAAACAAAAGTCTGGATTTTGTTACCTCGTTCTCAACTTTCTGCTCGGCCCCAGCCTGCACTAATAACTTCAAGATCTCCAAACTGCCAAACCAGGCAGCCAGATGAATGGGTGCCACTCCGTACTATAAGATGCAGAATATGAAATGGTAAGTTGTGATATCTTCAAAATACTACATAAGCTATTGTTAGCAACCTAAGTTTTCAGATGCAGGTATTTCCTCCCACCTTGTCCTTTTGGTCCACCTTGACCCTCCGTTGCAGAAGAAGCTGCACAGCCTCCTTGTTTTTGCCAGCTACTGCATAGTGAAGTGCCGTCCTATTATCCTGCAAACAACTTCATCAGTGTTTTACAAAAGCTTTTACAAAAGACCAGCCTTTCAGTCTGTTTGTGTGATACTGAGATGCAGATAGACTGTTTGTCTCATTACCCACCACATTCCTCGCATTGGCGTTCAGCCCTCTTGCTAGAGTCTTCATGGTCGCCACGTCATTTCTCTTGGCAGCTTCCATAAACTGCTTCTCTGCATCAAGCACTGCACAACACATATGGCGTTTTACATATATTATTTTATACAGAACTGCATGTACCGGGCCAAATGATGTGTGAGGAGCTTACAATAACAGCAAGGAACAAACAGTAAGGTCAACTGAGACGAGCGAGTATCTGTTTCATGTGTTGTGGTAGAGAATGCCATAGCTTCAGCCTTGTGTAAATATTCGTTTTCTTGTAAAGAAATGGGGCATACAGTCCTTCCACCACAATGATTACCTAAGGCTTAACTCCAGCTCAAACAATATGAACTTGAGGGCTCAGTCCTGAACAAGAGTGAATTATTCTGTAAGACCACATTACATTTATTTATTTTCCACCTTGTTCTAGTTGTGTTGCACATACTCACACATCTCCTGGTTGTCAAAGCTGTTGTCTGTCTCTCTGTCAGAGTGCTTGTTCAGTATGAAGTCAGCAAACGCGTCTACTGTCTCCTGTCTCATCCACTTACGAGGGTCCAAATTCTCCGTCTTAAGGCGATGCTTCTGGATCATCGCCTTCAAAGTCAAAGCTCTTCTATCCATTGTGAAGCTTTTTAAAATACCTCTATGTGGGACCAAGGTGGGCTTGGTGTAATGTAATAATGTGGGACCAAGTGTGTAATGTAATAAACAGTCCAATATTTGAACTGAAGGCAAAAAAAGAGCCTACAGAAGATGAGAAAATCCTATTTTACCCAGTTTCGTGCCGTTCCCGTCTTGAAATAGTCCACAGCGAGTCTTGAAGTGGAAGCGTACTCCTTAATGTTGGAGGGCTGGTCCCTGTTTACTTTACTCACACCCTTAAGTGAATGCGAATAGTAACATAACATGGTTAACAGTCACACTCCACCTGTCTTACATGACTAGAATATGGCATGACTACGGCTTCTTACCTTGAGTTATATATGTTATACAAAGTGTTTTTAACTTTAATTTCTGAGAACACAGTGCACTGTTTACAAAAGATTAACATAAGGCTCTAATAGCAGTTTAACTTGTTTGTCAAGGGAAGTTTGACTAGCTTCACATGCACTGCAGAACGATGTGTCATATTCACACAACCTGAGGCAACACATTCTGCTGCTGCTGCCGGCCTCTGAGGACCCGGAGCGTGAGTTTCTCTTATTCGATTCAGGACTTAAATAACACTTAAGTCATACACTTTGATACAACTTAAAACAGCCTCATTTGGGGCCTTTCTTCAGAAGGCCAACCCTTATTTGGTTAGTCATATTAATGTTGAGTGTGTGGTAATTAAATGTACAAAAATGCCATCAGCCAAAGTGACATTTCATCAGAAGAGTAGTTTATTTCAATAAACATGATAGAAGGATTCTCTTATCTTCATTTTTAAACATGTATGATCATTGGAAAATGAAATAAATACAATTGGAAATGAAAATATATGAATAAGATAAGTTTCTGAATATAAAATAAAAACTAACTGTCCCCTCAGCATGTAATAAATAACTTCATGATCCACTTTGCAAAAACATTACACTTATCTTCAGTGGTAACAAGAATAGACAATGAATTGTGCATATATATTTATATTAATGTTCAAGACTTAAAACATTTGTCTCTTGTCATCTTTACATTCTTGTCTAGTTATGGCTTATAAAAAGCAAATAAGGCATATCAGTGCAAATGCTTAGCTTCATTCATCCCATAGATTTACAGTTCTCTTTTTAAACATTGAATATGGCTTTGTGTTCAATGGAAACCTTCCCTGTGGAACAGGCTTTTCATTTCCTGAAGAAAACTTGGACACCATGCATCACCTGAAGAACTTGTCGATGGTGTGAGGGCCGAGTCTTTTAGCCTTTTTAGAAGGAGGGGAAGACGGCGAGTCCCGTCTAAATGTAATTTAGAAAACATCCATGGTTACCACTTTATCTCAAGTACATGGAATATGAAGAGAGTCAATATTTTGTACAGCAACAATGTAGTCTCACCTTTTGGTTTTGCCTTTACTTGCTTGTGTTGACAGGAGACGGGCTCGGTCTGCGAAGAGAAACACATTAAAAAAAAAAAGTCTTCTCTATCAAAAAGATGACACCCAGTGGAGACCCACTAAGGCACCTCTTCAGAGATATAAAGAGAGCAATTTCTGAGGCAGGCCTGTTTAAGAGGAAGCCGCGGTGCAGTTCATTGTAGGGAATGAACAGGGGAGAAAGTGATTTAGCCATTTCCAAGACCAGAGCAAAGGAAGCCCCATGGGCTGAAATGAGATGTCTTTTCTCTGTAGGAATCGATACAATCGTGTCACACCGTGTCACTGTCAGTAAATAACAAGGTCACAGGCCAATGACACCCTGCCAAACAGACATTCCTTTTGTTAGCTCCAAAGATGCATCACAGCCACATTTTATAGGCGTTGCTAACAGGATCTATCTGTCATCAAAAGAAATAGATACACTCCATGCAGGATACACTGAAATAATAAAATGGCTTTAATTAATCATTTTCATGGAGACAATTTCAGAAATAAAAATGAGAAAACTATTTGAAAATATTCTCTCTCTCTCTCTATAGAAAATGATCACCAGAATGTGCAGCTCCCTTTGACTTAACGGAGCTTAAAAGAAAATGTCAGATATTTGGTTCACCATCGACACTCATGATGTGTTCAAGGCTGCAGCCTGCAGCTGTTTTCAGAAAATCTCTAAAATCCCACTGTGCACGACCTAAAACCGAGTGGAGCTAAAAGACAGTGAGTCATCATACTCCAAACTAAAATACATGCTGTTATGCTGGATGTTAGCTGCTGGATGTTAGCTGCCATATCAACTTAAAAATGGTTAATGATGACAGATTATTTGCACAGTATGTGGTTCCTCTTTAGTGTGGTAGTGTGGAACAACCTCATTTAATACACACTCACCTATGGCCTTGCTATTTATAGCTGAGGGTGGATTTATGGGAGATGATGTGTGCCCCCGAAGCTCGTGTAGGACCTCCTGGTTCAGGCAAAGGTCAACGTGGCGGTTAAAGACAGTGAGGTCATCACTATCCTGAGTCAGCTGACACACTGGGCAGATGAGGACGGGGCCGTTATCGTCACATGACTGAGGCTGTCCTGAGGTCAGCGTTTCGTTGTCATCACTGATCAACAAAACCGTTTGAAGAGAATCCAAGCTGTGTTCCTGAAGATCATCTCTGTTCGACTGCATCACTTCACATTCCTTGTGGTCACTCTCTAGGTCCAACTCTGACTCTGTGTCAGAGATTGTATAGTGGTTTGGCTTTCTAGAGGCACCGCTGAGACACTGGTCTATATGTTTGTTGAAAACATTCAAATCCGTGGTCTCCACTTGCCCGAAACACACGGGACAGGTGAGGCTCTCGGACACTGTAAGGCCACAGCCTGATGTGGAAGCCTCTACGAGAGGGACCAGGTCTTTCTCCTGGAGATCTGAGGCTGTACAGGGACTGTTGTGTGCTTTTGTTGATGATCCTACACCCTCTTCAGCATCAGTGCCTATGGAAGTAATCACAGAAGCATTTTCCCCATGTCCTTCCTCTTGAGTACTTGCATTTTCTTCCTGGAGTCGCAGTCTCTTGGCCTGAGCCCTTTGGAAGAAAGACTGTTTGGGTTCCTCACCGGTCTCTAAGCCCCTCCCCCAGGTAACTCCCTCTTGTCTCTGATGCATTCCTTGGGAAGAGTCTGTCTTGCCTTGCTGAAGAAAGCCAATGATGCTTCTCTGCAGCGGATTTTTATCATCCGAACTGACAAAGGCGGAGATTCTCACACCTACGAGCACAAAAACAAATGTTCGTGAGAAAACATCAAAATAACAGCTAACTGTGTTATTATTTCCACATGCAGTGTGTCATGGATCATTTAAATCTATTACAAGATGGTATTAATTGACATTCAAGTAATACATCTAATTACCCATGAGCCTCAAGCGGAGCGGCTGGGGTCCCTCATTGTCGATTTCTGTTTTCAGGAGGTCCTTAGCAGCAGCAAAGATCTCATCCACTGTAGACACACCGTACGACAGAGTGAGGGCCCGGGATTTCACCTCAAAGTTGACATTCTTCAGCTTCAGTGTGACTGTTTTACCCTTCAGGGAAATATAAAATGAAAGTTAATTTAGGGGAAACAGTAAAGGTTGTTTCTGTGTGCCGTCTAGCAACCTCTTAATTAAAAGCATAATCGATGATACTGTGTGTAAGTGTTATAAAAAGACAAGAGATGGAAATCCGTATGATCTGTCATAGCAGAGATTGATTTGTCAGAATGCACTTTGTGAGTAACGCAGCAAAAAGCGCTTTCATAGTAATGTGATCATCTCCCAGGGAGACATTTCCACGGCTGATAGTAGCCCCCGCTGTCTCCTTAATGGCCCTCCATTTCCTGCAGCTATCAAGGCCACATCGGGGCCCCGGCAGGGGGGTGATGGTCGTGCCAAGCCATGCAGTCCTTTCTCTATCGATTTGAACAGGAGTGAACAGGTTGAGGTAATTGTATGAGATTCTGTTGGGGTTGATTCCAGGGAGGACAAATATAACACGCTGTTTTACTTATTTTTTTACCAAAAACAACCCTTTTATCTCAATCCATTTTTGTGATGTCCATTTCTGTTCAAATATGCTTGCTTTGTTCTACTTCTCTTTGCTCAGTCTGAAAACAGGTGATAAGCAACATGTCAGCAGTTTTAAAATGAAAGCTATGATCATGCAGTATAGCTCTGTGTGTGGTTAATATAACCTAAGAGAAGTAGACACATGTGTGTTCAACACAGCTTACTAATTCATAAGATAAATACAGAGGTTTGTTCATGTTCCAAAATAAAGAAAGCAACCTCCACCACCTTTAGACCTTCTTTCTTCATGTCTCCTGCTAAGTCTTCACAGAGCTCTTTGCATAAAGAAAACTGCTCCTCGGCTTTACTAAGTTCCTTAAATGTCCTGTAAATAAGACGTGTGTGAAAAGAATGAAACAGAGAGGAAATGAGGAAGAGTTTAGAGAATGGACACTTTAAAATGTCTGTTTTTATGTATGCTTCAATAAAACCCTACCTTTCTGTGCTCATGCTTTTTCTTTCTTCTTGCCTGTATAAAAGCAAAGACAGGTATTATCTTCTCTGAACTGGACCCCCCTTTTGTGTTTTGCTTCACAGACAGTAAAGTACCTCTGTATATGTGTAGAGCCCAGACCCAGGGAAACCTCCAATAGATGATGCCAGGCCGTCTCCGAGAACAACATCGACAGCAACGCCATCTGCTGGCCCAGATGAGAACAGCTGCTGACGCCCAGAGCGTTCAGCATCTTCTCACTCACCTTTCCTATGCCAGAAACCTGAAAAGGATGCACAAACAAATGTTTTACCATCATTAAATTACATTTTCTTTACACCAGTGTTTCCCTACTTGCAGCACATCATTTATCACTTTACTCGTCATCTGTCTGCCTTTTCTAAAACAGAAACACATGATTACTTACTGACGTGTTTTTCCAAAATGATTAACAAACTACTACCACAAAGCTCTGTGTTTATGTTTTAGTTTGAGCAATGTGTACCGTACTTTGCGAACTGGGAGACGCTGGATGAAGTCCATGACTGCCTCTCTGGTGGAGGGGAGTCTGTATTGGCCGTTTGGCTTGTTCTTGTCACTGCACACCTTGGCAATCATCGTGTTTGGAGCAATTCCTAGAAGAGTGAATATCATAATTGACTATTGAATTTGTAAATGAACAGCTGGTAAAACATGCACATCATTTTGATAATAATTCTGAAGAAAATGTGCAGGATAGACAGTTATTATTGTTGTGGAGCAGTTTGTTATTGCAAAAAATGAATTGTACTTATTATAAGTAGAGTTTCTTAAAATCATACTGTTTTTTTTTATTTCGTTTTTAAGTTGACAGAAGTTGTAAACAGCTAACTTGCATTTAGTATGTGCGATAAATCAAAAGTGGTAGCAACAGAAAGACACTCTGCAGACACAGAAGTGTTTTCTTAATCAGGTCAGTGGTTTTAAACTCACCTGCACTGGCGGTCAGCGTGGTCTTCTGCTCAATTCTGAAGCGCATCTCTCTCACAGCTTCCTCAATAGATGTCCCAAACACCTCAAACGCACCACCAGAAGCACCGTCAGCTTCAGAGCCCGGGGAGCAGGGCGAGGAGCTCGGGCTGTCCTCAAACAGGACCGGAGAGAGGTCCCTCTGCTCTGGCTCCAGGGAAACATCCATCTGATCTTCACCTATAGGGAAAATAAAATACTTCATACAATAAGCAGATGAATGAAACTTGATCATGTAACAGACTTATTTTCTGCTATATTCTCAGGTCTAGAGTCAATTTGAATAATGTTGTAGATGCATAAAAACAACACACCACACCATCTAATCATTCTACATTGCTGCATAATTAAGTCCTGCCTTTAGTGATGCTGCTGGTGCGGAAGCGATGTGTTCGTGAGGATTCAGGCCAGCTCTGCCTCTGTTCCAGGTGCTCTGCGAAATCCAGATAGGCTTCATCCAGGCTCATCGGCTGGAACTGAGGGTCATAGTCTGCAAAAATCTCACGGATCTAACAGAGAGACACAAATTCATGAGCACCTGTTTGTTTAAGCAGGAAGCCACAAAATGACTGCACAAAATGTGTTATCATGCAACTTCTAGATGCAGTTATCTCTTTGTGTGTGTATGATTAATCATCACTCTCACCTCTTCACTCACAGCTCTGTATTTGTCAAAGTTGGTTGGAACAATAATTAAGTTGGGGCAGAGTTTCTTTGCAATGAAGCCAGGCATGGCGGCTCGGACCCCGAACTTCCTGGCATGGTAGTTCGATGTTGACTGAAAGAGAGAAGATGGGATCTGAATATAAAACTTTACATTTGTCTTGGAGTCATTCATAAAACATTAGCCTTGGTTTAAAATCACTATTCATAGTATAACAGTATACAGAGTGCAGTGATGTTATAGTAATATATAAAATAGGACTTTGAAGACTTATTCCTGTTGTTTGTGAAAAAGGGCTATCACTGCATAATATTATACCGTGAGAAATATGACCACTTAGCTATTTAAATTCTGCAACACATTTTTTAAGCCATTTATTTTTACTTTGGTTATTACTAATGTGTGTTTTTTTTCTCTGTATTGAACATGTTAGCTACTTTTTTATTGCTTTCCTTTTATCTGCTATGTCACTTTTTCTGTAACGCTGTCAATTTCCCCGCTACTGAACTAATAAAGGGATTCTGATTAATATGTGATTTATATTTAAAACTTTCTGTAAATTTTTTGATAGCTTGCAAATCCCTTGTGATAAATAGTATAACAGAAAGTTGTACTTTGACCAGTGATGTAACACATATAGTTTTTTTCTTTTACTTGTCTTGTATTTCTACCCTGTGTTATCAGGGCATAGCATCCACTTTTTAATTCAATCATCTTATGAATAACCATTATAATCGTATACATTTTCCGAGAACATATTCTAACCCACCAGCATGCTCATGGACCCTACAGCCATGGGCTTGTCCTTCAGCTCAGGACAGTCCCTCATCTCCACAGCAGCGTAGAAAGCATCCATATCCACATGTACAATCAGATGGCTGAGATCACGACTTCTCTCTAGCTCTGCAACCATCTGTTCAACCTATAAAGATAGCTTTGATGTAAAACACTTAAGTGGTGTGATATTTATTATGTAGCTTTGTCATTAATAGTTCTTTAAGTTTGTCTGGTTATTCGTATTTGAGTGACCAAATGCCAGATACATCCATAACATTGCTTACCTGAGCCTGTGCTTTATTTAACTGTTGTTCTGTGATCTGTGCTTTTTGTAGCATCATTTTCTCAATGCGCTGGTTCACCTGCTGCTCTCTCTTCAACTCGTTCTCATAAAACCTAGACCCCTGCAGAGAAACGACAGATTCTGTAACACAGCTATAATGAAAAAACGATAATAGCACATTTATTTTTAGGACTGTGTGTCACTAAACTAGAGATATGGAGCTTTCATACACGGCTGGACACAGGCATTACAACTGTACCCATATTTAATATGATTCACAGCTCACTAAAGAGCTTTGTCCTTTCTAACAAATTATTTATCTTTGTTTTAAATGTATAGAACATTATATGCAGGTTTAGGGAGTAACAGATTACATGTAACAGGATTACGTTATCAGGATACCAAAAAAAGGTACATGTATTCCCTTAAAGATACATATAAAAAGAGGTCATCAAATTACTGTTACATTTCTAATAACTTGGGACTACAAGCAGGTAATCAATGTTAGTCAAACACTAACAAATAGCATATTATGTTGTAATATTTGATATTAAGGTAATCCAAAAGTAAGGGAAAGTAATCAGATTACATTACTTTTATATTTTGATACTAAGATTAGGTTACTGATTACATTTGTTTACAGGTAACTAGTAATTGTAACTGATTACATTTTTAAAGTAACCCTCCCAACCCTGATGATATGTATTTGTATAGGGCCTACAGCAGAACCAGTGTAACTGAGTTGTTAGTGTTTACCTTTGACGACGTCATTATGATCTTGTTGATCCTGTCCCTGTCAAGACCCTCCATACCAGCCTTGTTGTCATTGAGGGCCATCCTGGAGAGGAAGCCCTCTCCTTTAGAGGATGCAACCCCCTTCTCCATCCTGAAGAATGGATCCTTTGTAAGGAAACAAGTGTTTATTTTCAGCAGTGTAATCCCTAACAACTCTGTTCCAAAGTGAGTTGATAACCCTGAAGGATGTCGAATGTATCTCATTACATGTATGCCTTATAAAGCATTAACAGATAACAAACACATATTCATAAACGTACCTTTCACCTGTGAAGAGTATCAGTCAGTCACACTGAATTATATTTAATCAGCTGTTAAACTTTCATCCCTGTATGTTTTGAAAACTGGTTTGACGGTTTTGGCGGCACTTCCGCGTACATGCGTCATCGCCGGATAGGGCGGGGCTTGTCCTGTTTACCTTTTAAAAAATAAAAGAGATCCTCACTAGAGCACATTGAGCTTTACGAGATCACCTTTTACCCCTTTCAAAGACTATGGTGTAACATTGTCTATAGATAATTTTTGAAAGATTAATCCCAGAAACCCACAATTTGAAACATACATGAAACAAAAGCTATAAAATACACTTAAATAAACAATAGATAGACAACATAACATTTTTATTAGAACATTACATTTATTTGATAATGGTCTTTTTAAAACAAAACATGCCACTTACATCAGAAGTTTCTTGAAAGCTGCAGGTAATGACATTTATAATTATCTTAGGATATACATCAGAACGTTTCCTTTTTGAGTTTATGGCATGACATAATTTTACCACATGAACCTTAGACTGGGCGTTTTCATTGTGTCCAAAGTACACGGAATACTATAAAGTTGTCCTCAGAAGATAAAACACTACACCAATAACAATAATGTATAGTTTAAGGATTGTCAACATAAAAATCTATAACTTGCATCACAGAAAAGAGATCAGTGTGGCTAAATGTGTCATAATGCACTGATCATAAAGTATTGTTTTGCTTGACTAAATTCCTTGATGTTTTACTTTTATAGGGCTTTCTTTTTGCAACATTGTGTGTGTGAGAAGTCTATATTGTACATGCAACAATATGATAAGAACAACATTTTTTGTATTCTTGCTCTATTTAACGCTAACTATGTGAATTTCCTTTGACTAATTTATGAGATGTCAATTCTCTACTGTGAAGCACTTTGGACTGCAATTCTTATACGAAGTGCTATACAAATAAAGCGGTACCTCTTTACAATAAGACTACCCTTATAAAGGGTTTACGAATAGTTTGTAATTCATTTATTAATTAGGTTGTGAACACTTAATAAATCATTAATAAGCTTTTACAAGACATGAGATAAACAGGGCAACTGTGACCGGTTGCTTGCCAAATAGTGAGCCCACATTTATCTGTACTGCTAAGCCTTATATTGGCTACTTAGCTTAACTCGTCTTCTTCATCAGCCAGCATCCTTGGTATTGGTATTGGTATCCCAATAAATAAATGTCTATATATGTTAGAACTGGTTTATAAATGGTTCTTAATGATTAATAAAGTGTTTACAACCTAATTCATAACCTAATTATAAACCCTTTATGAATCCTTTATAAGGGTAGTCTTATTGTAAAGTGGTACCAATAAAGCTTATTGTTATTATTATTATTAACATATAATTATTAATGTTTAATATTATTTTTGTAAAACACTTTGAATGGCCTTGTGATAAAAGCAGAGGTGGGAGAAGTACTCAGATCTTGTACTTAATAAAGGAGTACCAGAGTGTAGAAATACTCTGTTATAACTTAACAAGTATAAGTCCTGCAATCAACTCAATCAATCAATCAAGTACAAGTACAAAAGTATTGGCATCTAAATATACTTAAAATACAAAAAGTAAAAGTACTCATTATACAGATTGGCCCATTTCAGAATAATATATATTATATGTTTAATAACTTTGTATAATGCATTGTAGCTTGTGAACGTTATTCCAGATGTAACTAAAGTCGTATTAAGGTGTTTTTAATTGTTCACACTATTATTCAAAATCTGCAAAGTATGGAGTAAAAGTAAATGATTAACCTCTGAATTGTAGTGGAGTAGAAGTACAAAGCAGTACAACATTACTTAAGTGAAGTACAAGGACCTCAACATTTGACTCGTGCTTACTTGGTTACTTTACACCACTTGTTAAAAGGTGCTATTTGAGTAAACTTCGCTTGGCAACATGTTAGATTTTTATCTTGAAGGGGAGTGTGTGCGACTTCCGGTGATCATGCCGTTGTGTTTTAACCGTTTTAACACCCGCTCTCTTCAGTACACAGTAAAGCGTGGCTGCAGCTCCTCCCCCCCGACCTGAATGAAGACAAGCTCCTCCGCTACTGCTAACCAAACTGCGGAACTACAGCAGCGACACACACCGTCATTTGTAGCCTGAAGTTTAAGGTACAGCTTGAACACGAAGGCCTTCTTCATCGATCACTCTTTGCAGCAGATTATCCACCGCAGCTAAAATAGCTAACGAGTCACAAGTGGCTAGTTAAGTTAACGTCGTTTGACAGCTAACGCTAACTAGCTAGTCTGTTTGGTATTCAACGTCAGTTTCAAAACAAAGCCCGCAAAACGGAGAAGTTGAGAGTCAGCTGTCACCTGCAGAGAAGCTGGAGACTAAACTGAGTCTAAGTTTGTAAACCGATAAAGATACATGACGCTTTTCAGATCATGTTTAATACACTCAGTTAATGTTTAATTAAGGCTACTTCGTTAGAGAAACTGTCAGCAGGTTTTTGGTTGTAGCGAGTTTGATCTCATCCAGCAGCTACGCGGTTCTCTCGATATACATCAGATTTCCTTAAAACTTGGATTTAAATGTCCGAAAAGAGTTCATCGTCCGGTTCGGATGAGGATGTGGACCCGGAGGCCGCCCAGCATGTGGACGTCGGAGGTGTCTTAAGCAAGGTGAACCACTTTAAATGTTATATCGTATAATTCAGCTGCAGTGGTGTTAAGTAACTAAGTAGATTTACTCAAGTACTGTACTAAAATAAATTTTTGTGAGACTTGTACTTTACTTGAGTAGTCAAATGTGTTGCTACTTTGTACTTCTACCCCACTACAATTCAGAAGTAAAAAGTGTACTTTTACTCCACTACATATATTTAGTGTCTTTGGTTACTTTGCACATTTGGATTAATGATGTGATTACTGTGAGTTAAATTCACAAGCTACCCTGCAGTATACAAAGTCATTAAAACTAGCTGCACTTTCCCCCGCTTTGATAACACATTAATGCATCAATAACTATAATAAAAACACATCATATATTATTCTGAAATGGGCCAATATGCATAATAAGTACTTAAAACGTTGGTACAATGTTATGTTTTGGTGCTTTTACTTTTGTACTTTTACCTGAGTGACATTTTGAATACAGGACTTTTATTTGTAACAGAGTATTCCTACACTCTTTTACTTTTACTCAAGTACAATATCTGAGTACCCGTCTCTAGAATCCTGCATAGAGGATGTGTTGACTGTTGGTTCAGCTAACTGTTTGTGTCGTGCCTCTTGTGTGTTTACAGTGGACAAATTACATACACGGATGGCAGGACCGATGGGTTGTGTTGAAGAACAACACCCTGAGCTACTACAAGTCAGAGGACGAGCGGGAGTACGGCTGCAGGGGGTCTCTGTGCCTCAGCAAGGCTTTTATCGCAGTAAGTATGTACCTCGGTATGAGAAAGGAACAACACTGCTGCTGTCTCTGCAACAACAGAAAGCAGAATGATCTTAGCACCTGTCCGACTTTCCAGGGAATAAGAGCTCATAACCAGGGCGACCATGAAAGGCCGGATTTTCTGCTCCAGTGCTTTCGGAGTAGGGTTACCTCTCCCGCAGGTCTCATTGTTTGACGCTCATGCTCCCTGTCATTAGCATGGATAGAGTTGAACTTTAATTCCTTAAATCAACGCTCCTGAAAGATAGAAAGGGTAAACATTAACAAGTAATGAGGCTGTTTTTAAGATTACAAAGATAGGGTAAAGACCTGTATTTTACCCAAGAGATGCATTCCTGCTCAAACAGTCATTTCAGAACACACTCAGGCGTCTTCCTCCATGGCAGTTTTGGCACAAACTACTTAAAATTGATGTTTTTTATGGGTTAAAATGTAAGCTTTGACCACATACTGCACAGATCAGACCGGTATTCTCCCAATGAGGCCCCTGTGTTGGTGAGATAAGTTTAAATCCCACACCGTGGTTAAATATTCACTGGGTGGGTTCTCTGAGCATACCGCCACCGTGTACAGAGGCCAAACAAATAGTTTTTCTCTGCAATAGGACTACAACTTGAAATTATACAGTTAGTTTCCTTCTCCAGTAAGTGGGAGCAAAATACCAATTCCTGTGTTTGTGCAGACCTGAATGGAGCTCAACAAGGCATGTTTGTGCTTTGTAATTGTGTTATAGTAGGCTAACCAAGAGTGTACACAGTTTGATTACACATGCTCACTTATTATTGGAGTAGTATGACACACACAGTCACTTCTCACTGCCTCTCCCTTCCTCCGGTATAAAGCCTGTGCTGTCTACGGAGACGGTGGTATGAGGACTCAGGAATGCAGGAACAAGCCTCTGCCTCTCTTCTTGCCTAATATCAGTTTGTTACACGCAGTGTGTGCGTGCGCGCAGACACGCCAGATTGTCTTCATAGGGAAGCAAAATGTGCTGGAAATGTCACAGTGAAAATGAAATCTAAATTCCTATTGTCAGCCAAGAAGCTCAAACCAGTTCAAGCTCTTGTCAGTTCATTGGTGTTTGCCTTCCAGTTATACATGTTTGTGCAGACAAACTCGTATAAACCAATATATATATTTGTATGTATAGTGTTACATTTTGTTTGGATTACATTTCAAGCATGTTTGCACAAACACTAGTGTAAAGGCAGTTCATATGAGAAAAAGCTTAGGTTTCTCTCCTGGGAAAAGGTTAGAAGGGTTCGACTGATAACCTTCTCTTTCCCAACACTGAAGATGCAATGCAGAAAAGAGCCAATGCAGCAGAGATTGTCCCAGGCGGAATGAGAGAGGTATAAACCGGGCTGTAAAGC